CGCCCGCCCGCCCGCCCGGAGGAGGCGCGAACCGCGGCGGGATTGACTGATTTGGGGTGGGGGCGCGGTGGGTGATGGAGCAGCCCGAGGACATGGCGTCGCTGAGCGAGTTCGACTCCTTGGCGGGCAGCATCCCGGCCACCAAGGTGGAGATCACCGTGTCCTGCAGGTGAGCCGCCCGCTGCCCGGGGTTCCCCCCCCCCGCCGCCGCGCCCCCTTCCCGGGGAGCACGCCTTCCCCGGGGCGCACCCCCTGCCCCTGCCCGAAGCCCCTGGCCCGCTGCGGGGTGGCCACGGCAGAAGGCGGGGGCAGGCTGGGGTCAGAGCCTGGAAAGTTTGTGCTCCGGGTTGTTGCTTCAGAGATGGCATAAAGACCAGAGAACGGGGTGTTGTTGGGGGGCAGGCCTGGAAAGAGAGGGGAAAGGGGGGGCCTTTGTCCCGGGGTCTCCCCACAGGCGCTCTCTAGTCAGATCCTCCCCAAATGGAGACCTAATGCTGTGCCCCAGGGATCCCTCACGAGCTGCCCCCCCCCTCTCCCGCTGCACCCTCCTTTTCCCTCCCTCTCCTTCCTGGTGGTCTCTGTCCCTGCAATACCCCCCAGCACCCCACGGGATTCCGGAGGAAAAGCGTCAGAGGGAGGAGAACCCCCAACTTAAAAACAAAAAAAAAGCGCTAACTTGGGTCAAAAATCTCCAGCCAAAGCAGGGGGAATGGTGTGAAATTTTAGAACAAGGTAGGAGGAATACGTTTGTGGGAACGCTTGCCTCTCTGTGAACGCTGCTCTCTCAGGTTCACCTAGCTGAAGAGGGGCCTCCCCCGCAGCAGCAGGGGAGGCGTGGAGAAACGGGGTGCTCTGATGCAGCCTGTCTCGGTCGCTGGCCTTGGGGGTCCCTGCAAGGCAGGGACATAGCCCATCCTGGACGCCCATCCTCCCCCAGAGCCAACCACATTGCTGGAGCCCTGGCTGCACCCTGGTGCCAAGTCGCCCACCCCCCACCTGTCTCTGTCCGGGTCTCCCTGCCGTCAGGCTTTGTGTCCACCCTGTCTTTATTACATCGCTGTATTGATGACCAAGTTGTGACATTGTGGAGATTTAGGCAGACCCCTGCGTGCAGGGCTGCTGTGTAAAAGAGGCTGGCTTCGAGATTCCGGGGTGGGGGGCTTTCTCCTGACAACTTGGGAGTGAGGGCTGGTGAGGGGCAATCATGGAGGCCCCCCCAGGCAGGTCCCCCAGGGGATCCCGTGACAGCTCCCCACAGGCCCCCCTAGGGTCCCGCTCCAGTGCTTGCTGCCTTCACGCTCCCAGGAGACCCCTGATGGCCCATTAGCTCCAGTCTTCACCACCCACCTGCCCTCCTCCTGCCCTCCTCCTGCCCTCCTCCTGCCCGCACAGCCGCCCCTGGCATGCCATCATGCCTGTCGCATGCCTGTCATCTTCAGTCTTCAGAGTCGCTGTCACCTGAGCTTCCCGCCTCCGGGCCTCGGAAGAGCCTGTTCCCCAGGCAGGCTGTACGTTTGCCTTCCAGGCCCTGTGCACCCCCACTGCTCACCCACGAGACTCCAGCTCCAGTCACTGGCTGCTGGGGAAACTCTATGGGTCACAGGGTCACTGCCTTGTTGAGGACGAACCTCCTTAGGACAGCTCAGGTGTAGACACCTCCTCCTCAAGAGCAGCCATTTAAGCTGCTCAGGCAGCGCAGACAGGGCCTCGCACCCTCGAACCCCCGCTCCAGTGGGGAGGAAGGGAGGCAGAGGACCACGTGGCTGACAGAGCCAGCCAGGCCTTCAGTAGCACAATCTCTGATTTGCCACCTGTGGTAAGTTTTGAGCCCACTGGCCAAGTAGGTATCTTCCGGACAAAGACTCGATCACTAGGGGTAGCTCGTATGAACAGAGCAGTGCCCAGCAAACAGGGGCCACCCAGTGGGCCAGAAAAGAACTGGCAGGAGCCGTGGTGCACAGAGCACCTCCTATACACTGACTTGGCCCATAGTAGGTGCTCAATAAATAACTGATGATTACAGAAAGGCAGCAATGCTTGGCACCTCCTGGGTGCAATCTCCCGCTTCAGAGGTGCATCTTTTCTGGATGATACGGTTCTGGGGTTGATGCTGTATCTGTACTCTGAGGGCCTCCCCTCCCTCAGAGAGCCTGATGGAGGCGGGTGGGGGGGGTATTCCCACCCTCTAGAGGACGGAGGTGGGTGGGTTTGGGCATGGAGCGGGGAGGCTGGAAGTGCCCCTTGGAATGGAGGGAAGGTGGGCCCAAAGTTTCACATCCACCCCTGCTTCCACCAGGCCACCTCTCCAGGTTCTAGAACAGAGAGGGAGGGGAGGAGAGGGAGAGGGGAAGGGAGAGAAGACTCAAACTGTGCTTTTGCTCTAGTTTATTCCTTATGCCATGGTGAATCTGCCCCCCATCCCGCCCCGGCCCCGCACCTGTTACATAGACACCCCAGGAGAGGAACCCGTGTGATTCGCTGGCAAAGAATTCCTGGGACCCAGCCCCGGCAGCGGGCAGTGGGACAGGCAGAGGGGGAGCTGGGTGAGAAGTCAGCAGGCATCAAGATGGGCATCAGGAAAGATGGGGGTGCTGTCTTGTCCCTCCCCGCTGGCCCCCCCACCCCCGCTCCTCCTGGAGATACTGCAGCAGCCATAGCAGAACCCGGAGCTCTCTATCCTGTGCTGGGGAGGGGGGAGGGGGAGGGAGGATGGAGGCCACCTGCCCTGCCTGTCCTGGGCACTCCCAGCTGAGTGCAGAGCCACAGGACGCCCGGCTCAGGCTCTACAGAAGGCCGAGCAGGTGTTCAGACCATGCTTCAGGTACAGCACGTCCTGGCTAAGCCATAGCTCCCTCCCGGTCAGAGCTCACCTGTCCCTGTGCGTTTCCCCAAATGTCCTGTCAGTTTTCAGGACTCCGTCGGGGGCGCTGAGGTTTGCACTGCTGCGCTTGGCATCCTGTCCTGGGGCTTGAACTCAGGCCTGGGCACTGTCCCTGAGCTGCTTTTGCCTAAGGCTAGCACTCTACCACGTGAGCCACAGCGCCGCCTCTGGCTTTTTCTGTGTCTGTGGAACTGAGGAATCGAACCCAGGGCTTCATGCATGCTAGGCAAACACTCTACCACTGAGCCACCTTCCCAGCCCCTCCCTGAGGTTTTTGTTTGTTTGTTTTGCTCAAGACTAGTGCTCTACCCCTTGCTTTTATAGTTTCTTGGAGATTAAAGTCTCATGGACTTTCCTGCCCAGGCTGGCTTTGAACTGCGATCCTCATTCCTCAGCTTTAACTCTCATTAAAAAAAAAAAAAACTAAGTAGTTAGACAAAGGGGTTTCAACATGCCAGCGTGCCAGTGCAGTGTGCCTGGCTCAGTGCTGCCCCTTCGGGGGTCCTCCCTCCCCCTCCCCCATGTGCTTTGCATTTGGTACTTGGCAGTCTGGCAGAGTCCAGCCCAGTGCCACAGACTGAGCTGGAGGGGGGGGAGGGCGGGGGGGGGGGAGTGCGCTGCTGCTGCTGCTGCTGCTGCTGCTGTGCGGCCGGCCCCCGCTGTGGCCTCTGTCTCAGAGGTGTTGATTTCTGCTGTCTGTTCGGGTTGGCACTGGGCTGGAGCTGTGTGCGTGCCCCTGGGAACGCTTTCTGACAGCAGGGGGCAGGTGGCATTGGGGGCAGAGGGCCTGAGGGCATGGTGGCCGCAGCCACAGCCAGCACTAGGAGAAGGAGGTCCAGTTCATGGACACACACCAAGGCGCTGGGTTGGCAGAGTCAGGAGGGCACATAACAACAGCTAAGCCCAGGTCATGGCATCGGGACTGCTAGGCAGAGTTTACCTTCCTGCTGCTGTGAGATTAAAGCACTGGATCCTGGCGACTTTCAGCTCCGTGGGGTGGTGCTGGCCTGCCATGCAGCCCTTTCCAATGATGGCCCCTCAGCCGGGGGGGAGGGGGAGGAGGCAAGCATCCCACATACATTCACTGGGACCTTTTTTACATTTTTTTTTTGTCAGTCACGGGGCTTGAACTCTGGGCCTGGGCACTGTCCTTCAGCTCTTCAGCTCAAAGCAAGCGCTTTACCACTTGAGCTACAGCACCACTTCTGGTTTTCTAGTGTTTTATTGGAGATAAGAGTCTCACGGCCTTTTCTGCCTGGGCTGGCTTTGAACTGCAGTCCTCAGAGCTCAGCCTCCTGAGTAGCTAGGATTACAGGTGTGAGCCACCGGTGCCTGGCTCTGTGATCCCTTTTAAATATCACCCGGCACCCACAGAACCCATGGGTTCAGGTCCTGACACTACGTATTTGTCAGGGCAGGACTTCTAGGTTCTTAACATCTGTCCAGCATAATTTACTGCGTGTGTGCGTGCGTGCATGCGTGTGTGTGCGTGCATGTGTGTGTGTGTGTGTGTGTGTGTGTGGTGTGTGTGTGTGTGTGTTGGGGCTTGAACCCAGAGCCTGGGTGCTACTGCCCCTTCGCTTTTTCACTCAAGGCTAGTGCTCTACCACTTGAACCACAGCTCCACCCATACAGCTTTTTGGCAGTTCATTGAAGATAAAAGTCATGGATTTTACTGGCCAAGCTGATTTCCCAAACCACAATCTTCAGCTCTCAGCCTTCAGAGTAGCTCGGATTACAGATGTGAGCTACTTGGGGCCCTGAGTGACTATTTTGAATATTCCCACAAGACAGAAAGTAGTGTTTAGTCTTGATTAAGAAATCAAGGCTGGCAGAGGCTAAGGGGCCTGCCCAAGTCACACAGCTAGCGCAGTCCTGGGGAGGAAGATCCAATCCAGTCCCTCAGACTCAGAGCCCCAAGGGCGTCTCCTCCTTCTCCCCCGCCCTTTCTCTCTCTCTTTCTTTCTTTCCAGTCCTGGGGCTTGAACTCAGGGCCTGGGCACTGTCCCTGAGCCTCTTTGTGCTCAAGGCTAGCGCTCTATCACTTGAACTACAGCACCACTTCCTGTTTTTTCTGAGTAGTTTGTTGGAGAAAAGAAAGTCCATGGACTTTCCTGCCTAACCTGGCTTTGAACCATGATCCTCAGATCTCAGCCTCCTGAGTAGCTAGGATTACAGGCGTGAGCCACTGGCCTCCAGTCCCTGTTGGGACTCAGTCTCCATGAAGTCCATGGTGGGGCTTGGGGACCATCAAGATGGGCATGACCAAGAAGCGTCCCCAGGGAAGA